TCCCATTCACACGCTTTACGGAGCAAAGGAGGATAGGCCTCCATCTATTGGAGCAATCTCAAGTGCACCTTTAAACTGTTCATACAAAGCAGCGTCATGTTTGAGTCAATTTTGCAACTCGAAAACAAACACGCAAGTCAAAAAACTTCTCGATAAAACGGCCAACATTCAAGAAGAAAAACGTCAAAAAAAAACATGCTATTGACTTGTGCTTCTTGAATGGATTTCGATCTGAAACATGAACCAGAAAACTGTAGACGACGAGATCGGGAACAGCAAAAAGAAAACCGTTCGGCCGATTATAGCGAATCGAATTAAACAATAAATAACGATGTGAAACGGGCGACTTTTTTCAATTAAAATGGGAAAAATAGCCGGTGAAATATAGAATATAATAACCCATCGGGCCGGGCGTCATTAATCAACGCGCGTATAAGTGATCGGCATTGAACGGGCCCGAAGTGAGGCCCATCTGTCAGGGACTTTATATGCAATATTGGACTTAACAATGAATCAATCCCGCAGGAGATCGCGACAGGAACACTCTACATTTTATTACAATATAATTAATTTGAAGCCGCTGCACTCGATGGCAGCGTCCATGCACGTACAGCATTCGCTCATAATGCATAAAAGAACGTATAGAAGAGGAGTTCGATGCATGCTTCTCTACTTCTCCAACGCCTCGAATCGCCCAGTATAAACAGAATAGCATTTTATAATTCGTTTGCATGTCAGACTGGTGCGGTTTTGCTGCTTCATCCTTGAAGATTTATATGGGAATTGAAGTGTTTCGAATGATCGCGAACGGTGGATACGTAAAATTAAGATAAATCAAATTAAATTCTCTATCTGCGCATATAATCGTCAATTAAACGAAATTACAGACCGCACCCCGAGGTATAAGTTCGCTCATACATACCGGGACAACATTTAGCATAAAGCAAAATAAAGAATAAATATCACTCGCGATGTTGTCCGCCACACCCAGAGCTGGATTGGCACAAAAATACACGATTTTTCCCATGCGAATCTTGCCGATGCCCATGTAGGTATAATTTGTCCCGAATGTAATGAGGGAAAAACGATTTTAGGGACATGCTGTATACGCAACGGTCTCTTGCCCCCCATTGTCCATTTGAAACACAGTAAAAAAAAAAACCCGTTCAATTACAATCACATTCAACCCCCCAGCCGCTCAGTGGGGGGATCCATCGCGTTTTGAAGTTTGCCCTCTCTCTTTTTCGCAATTTTGTAGATCCAATTGAATTTTTTAAGCTCGACGAAACGAACCTCTGCAAATCGCATTATAAAACAAACATAAAAAAGGAGGCCACTCCTGTTTTGCCCCGTTTTTTAGCGCATTCGATAACTAATTTATTTTAAAATTCGTTCGAATGCAACACACAAACGGAACGGGGGCTGCCGCTGCTGCCCCTTTTTTTGCTTCTTTTGCGTTTTGCGTTTCATATTTTTCTGCGTTCACGTATCTATGCATGTGTGCTGGCCTCGATTTGCGAATTGAGAGGCAGAGGGATGGCAGTCGGCCCACAACACCTCGTTCCGCTCATTTCGAGCCAATCGTTTCCATTATTCAGCTTCAGTAGCAATTGCTTCTTGCGCCATCAGCTTCATGAAGTTGCTTCTAACGCACAGGGTGTTTAACAACAACAAAAACAAAATCATTTTGAACAGTCTGGGGGTGTCTTGGGAGTACAGAAAAAACAGATGGAAAAATTAGGTGTCATTAAAAATCCAGATATTTGCAAAAAACTAGATCAGAAGGATGGCAACAATGTTCTTCAAGGTAATCTGCCTTATTAACTTTCCGTAAATGCCCGTTCCTGCGTAATTATTAAAGACTCCGGTAACCATGGATAAACATGAAGCAAAGAAAATGAAACAGACAATAACATGCGTTGAGGTTAGGATAACGGTGTCACCTTGAGGTCAGTGCTGTCATCTTTTTGGGGCAAATGAGTGATATACCTCAACTGTCATCCAAAACCACCAGTTAAAGGTTGTGTATCGTTGATCCATATTATTGTTCAAATAAAGTACAATTCTGTTGTTAAAACACAAGAAGTGTTGAAAAGAGCAAGCAGTCCTGCCCGTTGCACTCCAAACATCTTTGTGTCCCAATCACTTTGAGTCTGGGCTCATATTTTGAGCAGCTTCTCGTGTTCGGTTAATTTGCTGCTGCTCAATTTGTACCGGCGTTCGGAAGACCAGAGATTTAATGTGTTCTAGTGTCCTGTACATATTACATACATGGTAGGAATGTAGGCCCTTCCTCTGGGGAGTTATCGGGACAATTAAGTGTCCAGTGTTTGAGAAAGTGCAGTTGTTGTGCAATGCTTCAAGTTTTTTTTTCATAACTGATCGCATATTCGCCAATTCGCTGTTGGTTTACATTTTGTGACAGGAGCTTCAAAATAAGCCACAGTTTGACAAATGCTTGTCATTATTGACAAAGGCTGTCTACCTGTCACTATCGGTTAATGACAAAAAACATCATTGCCGCTTGGACTTTTATTTATTTGACAAAAAGATGGTGATTTTTCTTTTCGAATGCTTAAGTATTCCAATAGGCTACCAATCGAACGGGGGACATTTTCGAAATAATGCTTAATAACAAAGTTGAAATTCGATCTTCAACTGTGTATATCTTCTTGAAATTTTCCTGATCCATTGGGCGACTTTTCGAAATCATGCCAAAGATGAGTTTGGCGCATTAAAATAGCGCACATTTCGGTTGTTGGTGTTTTTGATTTTTTAATAAAAGTGGTTTGCATAAAGATCGCTGCAGGCCGAAATGATTTTTGGATTGGCGCCCATCTAATCGATGAACCACCGGGTCGCGCAATCATCCACCACAATCACACTCAAGTAAAACTCACATCAAACCATTGGAAAGATAAACCCACTGATTTGCAAGGATAATTTCGCAATGCCGTACAATTGGCTAAGTGTTCTGCCAATTAGGAGGCCGGATTGCGATTGGCCGGATTTTCGAAAAATCGTATACGGCACTTAGCGTTTTGCCCATTGGTAGGCACGATTTACCCGCAGCTCTGCAAAGAAAAATGCCGAAATCGCCGGGTGGATGCGATGCAAATGACACGAGTTTTACATATATGCAAGAATAAAGAAGAAGAATTGCATTTCTGCGATTGTGAGCTGGCATAATGGCCGACGGTGACTTGGGGCTACGTTTGCGTCCCGATCGGTGTTTTAATTTAAATAATGACATAGTTTAACGGAAATCGCAGCAACATAGACAAAGAACAGGCCCCGCTCCGATGGGCATTTATTAATGCCTAATTGAGTCTCGTTATTTGGTCGATTTTTATGATTTTCCCTTTTTTCGGCCAGGAAATCACGAACATTAATTTAGCCATGAAAAAATCACGCTCTCAATTCGAACGGTAGAATTTCGAGATGGCGGCATCAATTTTGAATACACGTAGGCAATACATCAAAAGCTACTCTATCGCAATTATGCCCGGCATCCACGGCGAAGCTTTTTAGACACATTAAACTCATAATCGAATATTAAAAAATGGCCCTGTCCAGGTCGAGAAAAATCGACGATTTTCCTAAATATATCGCCGATAGATCGCAAAAAAACGCCGCCCGCGTATATTCAAAATGCATTTGCGATCCGCTTCGGCGAAAAGTCCGAAACAACCTTTCAATTTTCAATCTGTAACGGAACTTAATTGAAAACTAAAGCGCGGATAATCTTCCAAAAAGCTCCGATTTGCCACTTTGTACCTTCCTGCCACCTGGTAACCCACCAGCTTTTAAGCCGCTTCGTCGCTACCGTGCATTTGGCGAGTTTTATATTTATTTTATCATTGAAAACAACTTAATTCGAAAGAAATTCCTGGGTTCCAGTCAATTTTATTGTTTATCGTTTAAAATGTTACAAATACAGTAAAGTCCGCTTATAATGAACCCGGTTATAGTGAACTTGCGGTTAAAACGAACTTTTTTCTTTTAATTGTTATTTATTTGTTTTAATGTTATAATGAACCCCTTTATAACGGACTTCCGGATATAACGATCACTTTTTAGGTTAGTTGTATATTCACTTTCCGTTTATAACGAACTTCCACGCTCAGCAACACCAATCCTGCAGAGATGTTTATATTAGTGAGAGCGAGAGACAGCCAATGACTTGTTGCTTTTTGCCGCGTTATGTATGTAAATCGTTTTAGAATGGAAAAACAAAAACGCAAAGCTTTTTCACTAAATGAAAAGTACGAGATTATTAACAAAATAAAAAGTGGAGTAAAGCAGAGTGACATTTGTAAGGAATTAGCACTTGGAAAGCCATTCAGAATGACTTGCCAAATGTGAAGGTAGAAACAGCCATACATACAAACTGATGATGGTGGAGAAAAACGCCGAAACGTATTTGTAACATTTTAAATGATAAACAATAAAATTGACTGGAACGCAGGAATTTCTTTTGGATTCAGTTGAAATACAGTCAGGAAAATGTACACAATGAAAAACAACGACACTGGCAAATGATCTTTGAATCAAAGAGGTTGGAGTTGGATGATAAAACCCTGATTGATTGCTTGATTTGATGATTGAGGCCCACCCCTGAAAAACGCCCTCAACCACCCAGCAAACACCGCTAAGGACACTTGCGGCGCAATCCGGTCCCTCATCGAGGGTCGATCGAGTATTTTTCAATTTTCATTCGGGTTTTGATTATTTCCCGATGCCACCCCCCGGTGGTCTACCCGCGAACAATCCGTGCCACAGCTTGACTCTGAACAGTCCAAATTGCCGAATAATTGCCGATTTAGCGACCAGAAAACACTAGATTATTGCTTGGAGCAGCCAGCCGGTGCTTAGAATAGAGGCAAATGTGCATGCTGTCAACTAGAGGAGACAGCTTAAGCACCGACTGTCCCTCGAAGTGGATCATTAGATATGTAAGTCATTCTGCTCGGATGGCTAGATGGATGGTTGGTACTTACCGGTCGAGAACTCTACCAAATGGTTCCAAATAGAAGCGGCCGTCTGGAAAAAACAATGAAAAGTATTACTTAGATGGCAAAACGCCCCCCCTGGCTGAAGAGTGTCAATTGCATGTCGGGCGGGCACACAAGTTGAAAGTTGTGTGCTGCAACGTGCACGCCAACCAGCCAGTTCCTTAACGAACTCAATTAGAAGTTGTTCGCAAGTTCGTTCCAACTCACAGGTCGGATTCGATTAAATTTCGGCAAAATGTCGAGTCGCGTTAACAGTAAATATGGTGTTGTTTAGATTTATATTAATTTGGAAAAGTAAATGAACTTAATCTAGCCGGAAAATAATAATTTAATTTCAGCCAGTCGTCTCATTAAATTACTTTGGGGAAACTCGCGCGCTTAACTTGGAAGCTGAGCAAACATCCAACTTCAGCTACGTCGTGTTTGTTCAGTTTCTTTCTTGCGCGCGGTTGACGCATGAGACAGGATGGGGTTTCGCATTATCACTCAAATGGGCTCTCTCACTCAAAAACCTAACCGAGAACGACTGATTTCATAGTCGGCAGAGGCGCTACAGACGATAAAGAGCTACAGATTAAATCATGAAATAATCCACTGTAGGAAAATATTCTGTGGATGAATGCGATAACGCAAGTCAAATGTCAAATAAATCTTCCCCATTGTTGTTTATGGGTTTGTCATGGACATGACGTCTGTCAATGTTGATTATTCGCTGTCATCCAAAGAAAAAGCCTATGCCGATTTTATTCATTTCTGACGATATAATCTGTGATAAGTTGTATGATTTCGTGCCTCATGCTTCCTGCACGTACTGGATTGTGATATGTTTTCCCATGTTCTCCAATACGTAATTTGTGAATGTTTTGTTGGGTAAGTCGAAATCACTTAGCTTATTATTCAGGTGGCATTTTCATCAAGAAACAAATAAATGGAAAACAGGATATTTTTCTCATTAGAGCTAGTTCATAGCATCGGGTTGCTCACCGCTAAAACCGGTACTACATACCTCTGTATTATGTAGAATTACAGATTAATATTTAAGAAGAAACCTCTGTTGAAAATGAATAATGATATTTTCATATTTTCAGATTATCTTTTTCCTTATCTGCTTTCATAAATGGTCAATAATCTGCGAAGATTGTAGCTGTTTATTGGTGTTGAAGGCTGTTAGAAAATCCACGGCTTCCTATCACAAAAGGCGTACGTTTTAAAGTTATTCCTAAAAATGCTCCAAAGATTTTTTTTCATCTGTAAAAAGTATTTATATAAACAATATTCATTCATTCAACCGAAGGGTTCGGACGCCCACCCCCGACGGCTACAGCGAATAAGGCAGCGACATTTTCCAGACGTTTTCCGCTGTCTTCCATCATCGAATCTGCGAATATCAATTTGTGATCGCTGATTGAATCATCGGCTAAGATGGAGGGGCCCCACCGTGGGGCGCCATTTCCTGACAGCTCGGGGCTTCTCCATTGGGCCCTCGCTGTTAATGGAACAGGGGTGTGAAACGATGGAAGAACTTGTCATTTGGTTCCGATTGACTAAATCGACATGTGCTTTAAGTTGCGATCTATCGAAGATCTTGAAGGTTTTTGCCACTTTTGGACGCCTAAACTGAAGAGGAGGAAGCACTACCTGATGAAGTTCTTCATGCTTCAGTCGAAACATGGGGTTTTTCGTGCGATCTATCCTGTAAGCCGACAAGCTCTTTGGGACTTTTGAGGCTTTGTCCCCCACAAATCGACACAAGAACTAACATTGTTTTTGATTAATGCTGAGCATTACGCATCTTTGATAACGCAAGATAGTAATGAGAATCAGCATATCTTCACAACCGGAACTGTAGGGGCAGTTTAGAGAGCCGAATTACTCAGAAATCCTGCTGAAACAGCTATCAATGTTACGCCGCCGTTCCAAGCAAAGAGAGCCAAGGTAGGCCTGGGTAACTCAGGGAATTTTTAAGAGTTGGCGCAATGCTGCGCAAATGGCTCGATGCGCCAACCCAACGCACCGGCGCAGTAACTCGGTGCCGTTGCTCGGAAAATGTTGATGACCTTTTTTTACTTGTTTTTAGGTTATTGGTGTTAAAATACCGAAAATCTTAAGGTGTTTTCTTCGAAAATTTAATTTTATTAGAATACTGGCCTCCTTCGTGGCTTTGTAAAAAGTTTTGAAATCCGTTTTTAGCTCCGAGTTTGGTCGCAAAATTCTAACAATTTTTTATCAAAAGACGACCAAAATTAGCGAAAACCAAAATTAGAAAGTTGATAATAAATCATTTAAAAAACTCGTCACCCTCATTCCTCTGAAGGCTGTGGAATTTGTTTAAAAAACTGTGGTTTTTTAGTTTCGACCGAATTTTCAACTCAAAAGGGCTCTATTTTGAAGAGTTTTACTTAGAAATATTGACAATCTCGAAGTCTTTTACGCGAAAAATCTCAGGATGGTTTGATAGCTTTGTTGGAATTTTACAAAAACCTTTCTCACTGTCGAATTTGGGCCAAAAACTAAAATAAATTTCTCCTGTTTTTTCCCGAAAATCATTAGGGTTTTCTCAAAAATCGATTACAAAACTAAAAGTTTTTAATCCAAAGCGCAAAAAAATTATTATTTTCTGATGCTTCTCTTCTTTCCTGACAATCATGGGGTCTTTTCAGTCAAAAATTACAAAGTTGACTTTGTTAGAAAGTTCGCCTTATGCATCGCTGTGCAGGGAATTTTATAAACCCCTTTTCAGCTTCGAATTTGGCACAAAAACCAGATAATTTTATTGACTTTTTTACCGAAAGCTTTGCACATTTTTTTCTGGAGCCACAATTACGTTTTCTGCGTTTTTCACCGAACAGAACAAGCGAAAGTTATAATAAATTATTTCGAATGCTCGTCACCTTCGTCGCTGTGAATAGTTTGATTTTTTCCGGTTTCTCCACTTTTAGGTCAATACTTCTAAACAAAACTCTCTCTAAACACGTTTTACTGTAAAATTCTGGCAAACTGAGAGTCTTTTATACAGGAAAATTAGGAGATCGATTTACAAGAAAACTCGTCGTCTTTACAGTCTGGTCTTCTTTATCGTCTTTTTCGAATACCCGTTTTCCCTTAGAATTTGGGACCAAAACGAACTAGTTTCCCGAAAAACAGAAAAAGAAACGAGAAAAGACAAAAACTAACTAGTTAAGACGATGAACAAAACGATCATTCGTTATCGCATGTTTAAGTGATGCACACTCTTCTTTCGAGGAAGATTTTCATTCACTACGACACCAGCTTCAGAGCTAAAATATGGAAGTTTCGCACTTGTACAAATTAAGGGAAGAGGACAAAGAAACAAACTATCTACAAATATTTTTGTTCTATAGAGAACACTGTTGATCAGGAAGTGGAAGGCCCATAAGTGATCCAAGTTTTGCTGTAGAAAACCAGATGGTCCAAGCAGAAAAGAGCTCCGATTTTGAGGGTCAAAAGAAAAGGCAAATCCTGATCCCAAGCAACAACAAAAGTTAAAAATAATCATATTAATGCAGGAAATCAAAGAAGCAGTAAGTAAAACGCATTGAAACTAATCCCCAATTGTTTTAAATAATTAAATAAAAATTTGATTAGTGCAAAAAACCACAAACAGAGCGACAGGCTTTCAAAGTGTTGCTGATGGTGAGAAAATACGGTTGGGTTGTTGCTAAAGCCGCGCCGCCATCCACGAATCCATTTTGGAAATTGGAAAAAATCCATCAAACGCGATAACCAAACATCTCGAGCCCTCAGGAGCGAAAAAAATGTGTGTAAAATGTCCCCGCCCGTATCGAATACACGCTCTTAGGGCCGTGGGCTTAGCAAAAATACATAAATATAATGAATACAAATTGTCAATCTGCCGCCCCAGGCAACTGATTAAATGGGGGCGGCGTGGGGCGGCCACCCTTCCGGTAGTCCTGAGGGTGAGAGTGAGGCAGGGCGGAGGTCACGCGGTGAAGTGGATTAAGCCCTTGCGGATGCGGGGACTTTTTCGGGGAGTGTCTATACTGTCTACCCCACAGTGCAAGAATTAAATACAAAAATTATTTCATCAGCCATTTCCCTGACGTGAAAAGGGTTAATTTGCACCGACCGACGATTCCCCATTCGAACGGTGCCCATCCCCCCAGCCCGTACACATGTAGGCCCTTTGTGCGGAATAAAAAGTCGTATTTGGGTTATGTGAGGCTGCGAAGGAAATATGGGTCAAATGGGGAATAAGCCCTCGCTAATCAATCAATTTTAGTTAGAAAAACGCTATTGTCCGGTCCGCCCACACTGCACGCCAAACAGCGGGGCTTAATCCAAAATGATGTAATAAAAATTCTATTTCCCTCCCAACTAAAACCGTCTCGCAATACCGACTTTGAGTACTTTGTTTAATTTTTAATATGCCATTATTTGCGCCGCTGATCCACTCTCCTCTATTTGTTTTAGTCCGCAATCGCTGAAAACCCCACATATATACAATTGTTAATCTTGCTCTCCACTTTTATTAAATATTCCCATTGAGCCGAAGAAGGAGGATGCGGAATTAAATATATCTTCTCCCTCTTTGCTTTATTTCGCTGCGATTTCAATGCTTTGTGCGCAATTTTCAACACAAAAACTGCCTACTGGCTTCAACAATTCGATTTTGCTCACATGCCGGGTCCCTTTTGATAATTCTGAGCTTTGACGACAAAAAAAACAAATCGCCACTGATATTAATAATGTGCATATGTTGGCACGCATTAAAAAATTGCCGAAATGTTCGTCCATTACTGCGATTACCATGCAAAAGCACGGGGGGAACGCTAACATTGAAAAAGAGATTCAACATGTCCTAACAAATATTCGTATGTTCAACCACCGATGGTGGCGCTGCGAAACGTCAAATTACCGGTTGTCGAGTGACAGTAAGACAGTAAGACAGTAAGACTGTCAAAGAGACAGACTTCCGAGGCCATTCCTTGAAACTAATGGGTTTTCAGGTCTCCGTTCGGTAGAATATCTCCCTGACGTTTCGCAAGCACGAGTGGCTTGCATCTTCAGAAGTGGTTTGCTTGAACGCTTACACTGTTCTCATCAGAACCCGCGTTCAGTTCTTCCGC